GCTCTCTTAAATATTATTTGTTTAAATCATTTATATTTATTTATATTTATGCTAAACTACGGAAATTTACTTGAAACACAATAAATGTTATTGAAACAACGATTTAAACAAAAATACATTTCCACATATGTAATCGTTTAACAATATGAATAAAAAAATGATTATTTTTTTTTATTTATACAACAATTGAATTAAGAAAAACCTAGTTAGAACATAAAATTTAGATAGGATTTTGTAAAAAGTATTGAGTTAATGCTTCTCTTGCTGCTAATGAACCCGTTGTTTGTATAGTACATGTTGGTTTTCTATATATTGGTTCACTGATGTCCCAATCAATGTCAACAGAATCTTGATTTAAACAAGATAACAACATGAAAATAATAAACACTACTCTTTACGAACGAAAATTTCTCTGTGATGATAAAGCAAATATTTCATTATGATTGACGTAAAATGAACACGTTATAATATAACATTAATTGCAACTATATAATTCATTAGAATATTTTTACTGAGAACATTTACAATACTCTGGAAAAAATTGCTTGATGATCAGTTAAAAAATAAAATATTACATTAATATTTAGACTAGAACAATTTAAACACTAGATGCGTATCTATATTTAAAAAATTATTATTAATAAACACAGAAATAATATGTTGAAAGAATATAGAAAAATAAAACTAACAAACGGATATTAAATAAACTATAACATTCAATTTTTTTATCAATTACATTTATGTATATTAATAAGGACGAGGAAGAACATAAGATAAATCATAAAATAATATTTATCGTGGTGTGTTAAAACTGTTTGCAATACTTCTAAATACGTCCAAAAATTCTTTCTCATTATTCAAACTCTCTTCTTGTAATTTTGTTTGTTTTTCCAATAAAAGCAATGCCTTTGATTCTGCTTTAGTAGCTATTTCATTAACACCATCAATTTTGTTAATCATTTGTCGAATAAGTTCTATACTAAAAATTAAAGTAGCGGATAATGTGAACTATTGATGATACAAAACATTTATTTACCGCATATCTGCCACTTTCTTCTTTTTTGATGATAAATTTTTTTTGTTCGATATGTCAGACGTGTTCGAGGTGGTATTTTTTTGTATAGATATTGAATTAGATGGACTTTTTGAATTGCATGATCGATGATCAGAATTATTTGTAGATTCTTCAATATCTTTGATTAAATTCGATATATTATCATCATCATCATCTTTTGTTAACGAATTTAGATTCAAATCAGAAGCTGAAGCGTTTTCAATTTCTTCAAGAAATTGTTCTTCTTGAAGAGATATTGAATCAGAAATAAGACTCTCGTCATTAAATGGACGTTCACCTAGTCGCCGAAATAAATAAAAGGTATAAATGATACTATAATGAAAAAAAAACATTGTTCTTTACCGAGAAGCTTGTCGATTTGTTCAAAATATCGCCACGACGACGGACTACTACCTGTTTTGCCTGATTCTTTTCTTTTTTTTCTATATTCAGCAACGAGATTCGTTATTTTTGCCTTCACATCTGCACCTGTCATTACTCGTGGTGATAAAAACTCATTCAGCTGTTTTGCCATTGCATGATAAATCTTGGTATTTCTTGTTCCGCCCATCATTAAACTCTCATAATACTCGCTCCAAATATTAATAAAAACAGCTGTCTCTTCTTCTGACCAATTTTTACCTCGTTTGTTTTTTTTTGGACCTAAACAAAATGAAAAACTGCTTGGTTTTGTCAATAAAAAATGACTAAGAGTTTTATTCGTTTTCACTTGTTGACAACGATTTTGTAATAAATGTTTTATTCGATTGAGATGAGAAGGAATAGTGTCGTTTCATGGACACTGACGATGATGATGATGGCACAGTTTCGGTCGAGTTAGTATCTGTAAACATTGTTTTAATAGAATGAATTCATTTCTGTACAATTAAGTAAAGGCATCATCTTTACCTATATTTATTATTGAATCGCATTGTACAAAAGTATTTTCTAATGAAGCACTTGCAGATGTACATGGTATTTGAGGTGGTTCTTGATTCGAAGACGCTGCTACTATTGTCGAACATATTGGTTGATTGATATTCAATGAAGCTGATGGTGTGCGTAATGCAGCATTATTTTCCAAGGTAGAAGGTATAGCAGACGGACTAACAACAGAAGCATTTGACGTAATTAAACGAACTTGTGCTGGTAAACATGGTTGTGGATGCTGCAATATTTTCTGTTGCATTGGTGCAAGAAGCTGAATTTGCTTATTAGAAGGAATAATTATTCGAACATATTGAGGTTTCATCTTAAATTTTCGTGGTAAATGTAAAAAAAGTATTACTGTATTTTGTATCAAAAATCAAAATAAGATGTACCCATGAGAGTGTTTTTAATATATACATAAGTTTTATTCAATAAGATCCCGAAAACCTGCTACTGATAGTTGCCATACAGTCGAAAATGAAAGCAGAAAAACCTTTTTACTGGAGGAAAGTTTAAAATATTTTCAATGAGACGGTAATTTTTCGAAAATTGATAGTCAAATATCAGTCATTTCGAAATTACGCTCTTTTCGCTGAATATCCTCATATATGATCAAGATGTTGAATGAAATTGGTAGATTTGATACTCCTTTGAGTTTTGACAGATATGACAAACTGTCAGTAGCCATTGTTCTGTTTTATCCGCCTCGACAGTGAATCACCTAATTATTATAATCTTTATTATTACTAATATTTGCTTCTCCTTTTGATCTAGTTTCATTCATATTTTTATATATTTTTATTTACATATATATATTTTTTTATTTTACTTCACGCGATTTTATGGAGGTTTATCATATCATTTTCATTAGACAAGACAATGTCATTTGATTGGGGCATTAACTTTAATGTGCTTTCGAAAGCGCATTAAATGCGAATTAAATTTTCAACCAATCAAGTTCCTTAATTCAGTATTAAATTTTATAGTGGAGACAAGGCCTAAAGAAAAAAGATAACAGAGAAGATGAAAGAGAAAACATAAAATAGGATGAATTAAATCAATAACAAATAGTAAACGGAGTTAGCGTCATAGAGTGACCTCTATTGACACTAACAATCATGAAAAGAATTGGGGTTGCTTACTTATTGCGACGAAGATACGGTAATTTTACGATATTGTTCTAAATAAATCCCATGGTCCCCTCAGGAATACCAGAAAACTTTACTTTCGAATTTCGAATTGAAATTTTGTTTAGAGATAGATCTTAATGACAAAAGTTGATTGTAAAATTTTCAAGTCTTTTCATTTGCTTCTATCTTGAAATAAAATCATCAAATCTGCTGGTTTATGCGAGTTATGTAAAATACACGTTTGTATCATGGTTCTATCTTAAGATAGGGACATCAATCAACTCTGAAACATTCACAAACAACCTATTCTCATTAATATCTATCTCTACGAAAAATTTCAATTCGAAATTCGAAAATAAGATTTTCTAACATGCTTGACGAAGGTCAATGCATTTAATTAAAACAATACCGTAAAATTACAGAATCTTCGCAGCAATAAGCAAGTGACCCGAACTCTTTTTAGGGTATTCATAGCTCATCTGGCTTTACATAAAGCACTTAGTCTTGACTCAAAAGTGATTGAACAGTTGGTGATCATTTCTCGTGAGATAACCTCCAAAAAATTTATCCAACAAAATCTTTCGCAGCATTTTATTCAGTAAACATTGTAGAGATACTTCTAAGAAGGAGTTCAGACTTAGCACATTAACTGATAAAAGACATTTATTGTTTAGCGTACCATGATGTTTACTTGATAAATCCTAAGATCTTTTATTTAGTGTTGATTCTTTATCAAAATTTGACCTGCGGTCAAAATTTGTTTCTTTTACGCAAAGAAAATAATCGTTCATCCTTTTCGAATGATCCTCAAGGAAATGTTCCCATTGCACACTAACGACTTATGCATATCATGCATTTGCATAAAATATCAAAACATAATTAACTGCGCATTGAAGCATGACTATTGCCAATTCCTTTGTATATTTCTTTTATTGTATATGGGTAATACAGAAAGCATCTTATCTGAGTATTATTCATCGATTCGAACATCTTTGAATTCCATAACTCCTTTATATGAAGCATGTCGTGATGGTGATGATGAAAAAGTTCAAAATCTTTTAACAAAATACTCTCATCTCGATATAAATCGACAAGAATTTCATTATGGTGGAAACACATGTTTACATATTGCTGCTGCACAAGGTCACGATAACATTGTTAAACTTTTACTTAAGCATGGTTGTTATCGATCATCTCTTCTTAATTCACAAAATCAAAGTGCTTATGACATGGCTGCATTACATAAAGAATCTACACGTTTATTATTTCTTCGCCAAGATACACTTGATTTATCATCAAAATATTCTTCGTGATTTTTCGAACAAAATGCATCGGAATGTTTTGATGTAATTAAAGTTGACGATAATCAAGAAAATAATGATGATAAAAAATCAACAACATTTGACAAAAAGTCTATTATACAAGCAAACAAAACTGAAGAAGAAAAGAAACATGAAATCGAATATTCTGCAAGTTCAAAAGCAATGTGTCAATCACGTTTGGCCCGTTTTTGTGTTAATCATTTGCATTCTGATAAACCACTAAATCATTATGCAATACTAAAACGTTTAAGTAATTTACTGGAAGAATGTAGTATAAATAATTCCGATGATTATACTAAAATAGAAGATTTGATAAACCAATATGGACAAAATGCAATTGAACAATTACTTCATTTATATACACTTGAAACAAAATTTTATCGAATATTGCATAAAGATTGTTTACCATTAGCTTTACCATTATTTATACATTTACCAAATCTAAAAGAACGATTTTTTAAAGGTCGTGTTTATCGTGGTGTGCACATGACATACGAAGTATTATTAGTATATCAAATGGCTATGGAAACACCAGGAACAGTGCTACAAACACGTTCATTTTCTTCAACATCTATTAATCGTTGTGTTGCTGAACACTTTGCACATTTAGAAAAGAAAAATAATGAAAGGGAATTCAGTGTTTTACTTATATTCGATTTTCCTGATGTATGTGATCAAGCTATTAATCTTACAAGAATATCAAATGATAAACCATGTTTAAGTGAATATGAAGATGAAAATGAAGTACTTATTTTACCATGGACTTTATTTGAAGTAAAACATATACGAAATGCAACGGATGAAGATGAATTATTTACTATATATTTAACTAATATTATCATAACAAAAAAAAATCTTTTATCAACATTTAAATGGAGTTGGGTTGAATTCAAAAAAGGAATTATTAAAGAAAAAAAATTAAAATTTGATTGTGCATTTCAAAAACATAAAACATCAATGTCTAAAAATTAAGAGAACTATATAATTTTTTTCTTATAAATTAATAAATTCTTTTTTCTTGAATGCTGTAACATATTATTAAAATGCGCTTATAGTTGGTCTAAATATGTTGACATCATGTTTTGCTCGATGATATTTTTAGCTCATTTTCCAAATTAGCATGAGACAATTCTATTTGCATCGACAAATACAAATGACAAGAGGTCAACGATGTTATAGACAAAAAAAAGCAGTCCTTGATTTAACTGAAAATAGAACATTCTCACAGCTATGCAACTAGATGTATTTCTTTGTGAATTGTATTAAAAATTTAACAGTACCATTTAGTCGATCTATCTGATTTATTGTATTCTATTTTCAATTGCGAAAAGAAAATAACATTTTTAATTGATGGTGTGGGTAGCTCTTCCTTTTCCTTCATCTACACAGCCCATCTCCACCCTCACACGCATCCATATCCACACCCACACTCTTCTTTCGAACGAATACAAAAACGAAATAAGTTTGTTTGAATCAATATTCTCTTGTCAGAGAAAGAAACATCGATCAGTATTCACATTTATTTTCATTGTTATATACAAGACATTAACTTCAAAATCACTATGAACAAATCAAAACTGTCGAATGATATTAATAATATCGGCGGAACTGTCTTGGCGCGGTTGTTGTCTTACAATGAAGGTGAGAATGAATACTTTCTTGACGTCGTCAGTTTCAACATGACAATTGAAGTGAAATGTAAAAAACTGCATGATAATTAGAGTATAACAAAGGCATGTAGCTACGAGTTCGGCAATAGCGGCGATATACTCAAATATATGCATTTCAGAATGAAAATAGAGCCATTCACATGTCACAGATATGGTCACAGCGGTTACAAACAAATACAGAAACGATTTGATCCAGCCACTACGAAAACGTTCGCATTTCTCTGAAAAAAAGTCAAATAAGAGAAAAAAGGCGATATTGTCTTGAGTTTTTGCTGTAAATTTTTGATTAAAATAAATAGGAATGAATATGGCAAGAATGACTTCCAATCGAGAGATAAAATGGAAAATGTGTTTGTTTTCCACTTCAATATGATGATGGAGTTGTCAATAACACGACAGTAAATAAGTGCCGCTGTGAAAAATGTATCGAGAACTATACATCCGCAAAATATAACGATAAAGAAGTTGTCCTTCTTGTAAATATATGAGAGGGTATATCTGATATGACCAATTTCAGCAAGTACCCATAAGAGTAGATTGTAGAAGGATAATAAATAACGTGATTCAATTGGAGCACAACATTGTAGATAAGAAAAGACTATGAGAATTGTTGAGAGAAGACCTTCATACATTGATGATTTAGATTTGTACAACATATCATAATAGTAAAATGCATCAAAGACATAGGCAATTAACGAGAAAATTGGAAGCAAAACCATTGCCCATAAAAAGAAATGAACTTGCTTTTTGGTCGTGGGATACAAACAAATGCTCTTCTCATGTTTTTAAATGTTCATTATAGGTGTAAACTTCTAATATTTTATACAAGTCTTAATAACTAACATGCACTTTTCCAACTTAAAAATAACTTTGGTAATTAACAGCCACCCACTCATCTCAATTATGTCATGAAATAAATGACGTCAATTTACAGATTTACTCGTATTTTAC